ATCCCTAATATTAATATATATAAATAATATATTATATTAATTATATAACTTATATTATATAAATATATAATATCTGTATTAGTATATTACTAATATAATATATTATTATTATTAATTTATTATATATCATAATTTATAAAATTTAATTTTTTAAAATGTCATAAATTTTTATATATTATTATTTTAAATTATTTTATATTTCGAATAATAACGATTCGAACACGAACAAACACATCAGTGTTTGTATTTGATTCATTTAACTAACCGAATGAAAAAAAATTGTTCACGTTTGTCTCATTTAATTATTGAACTAATCGAACACAAACTCATTTACAACTATTCACTAAGAACAAATTTTTTTGACGGCCTTAGAAACCGCTGCTAAGCCTAAACCCTAAACCCTACGCTAATTCTTTCTCTCCCCGAAATCCTCGCCGACTCCTTCCCGAAACCCTCGCATGTGCCTGCCCCCTTCTCTGGCTTCGCCCAAAACCATCGCCTTCGTCACCGAACCCTCGCGATACAGTCGCTATTGGAGCTAGCTGGGAAAGCAACGACGGGATCGCGGCTTACAGAGACCCGAAACTCCCATTTTTTTACTCCTGCTCCTCTCCTACCTGAAACCATTGAGGAAGGTAACTTCACGTTTTTTTGTTTTTTCGCGCGAAGCGTCCGTCCCGGATTTACTAAATGCACCGATTCACTTCACGGGATTTAAGGCCGAAATCCGGAAAATCCGAAAGAGATCTAGAGGCCAGAGCGGACTTCTTGTATTGTGAACATTTTGTTGTTTTCCTTGTAAATATAATGATTGAAATCACTTGATTATATTTACCCTAGAACATCTGGGCCACTCTGTGATTGTTTGTGCTCTTTAGATTTATAAAGGGGTTATTTGACATTTTGTTGCCGTTCTTGTTGGCATGCATCTGGAACATTCACTAAACATTGTTCAAGTGCATGATTAAGTTTATGTTCTTTAATCTCTAGTTTATCCTCTTTGAGAACATTCACTAAACATTGTTCAAGTGCATGATTAAGTTTATGTTCTTTAATCTCTAGTTTATCCTCTTTGAGTTAAGAGGATGTCAAACTGACAGATAGCCGGATTGCATTGTTTGGCTGTTAGATGGAGACACGAACTGCATGAAAGTCATTTCAGTTTCATCATCATCATTAGAATTTACCTAACTATTTTGGTTGTTTTGTGTATCCTCTGTTCATGTTTATAGGGCTATGTGACATGTTCGTTCTGTTTATTTCAATCTTTTTGCATAACTTCTATTCATATTATATCTATTTTCTTCTTCTTAGGGGAACTTCGTTTAAGGTCATTGAGTTGACTTTCACCTACTTTTAGTTTTCTAATTAATTTGCATGAAATCCAATCCAGTTCTAAATTTCTAATTGTATCGAGTAACGATTTGTTGTTTCAGATATATCCTTCTTTCTCATTACATGCATGCCATCAGCTCTTGCTATTGTTTGTAAATATGAATATTTGGGTTTGTGATATGTATTTACATAAAAATTGTGTGCTACATATGTAAATTTCTCTTTTTTTAACACCTTTCTAATGCATCCTTATTCTTTCATTTGCAGGTATAAGGTTATCTGATTCAAGATATATATCAACAGAATGGTTCAGTACAACTTCAAAAAGATCACCATTGTTCCTTCGGGAAAGGAATTTGTCGATATCATTCTTTCACGAACTCAACGCCAGACTCCAACTGTCGTGCACAAGGGATATGCCATTTCACGCCTCCGACAATTTTACATGAGGAAAGTGAGATTCACCCAGCAAAACTTCCATGAGAAGCTCTCCACCATCATCGAAGAGTTCCCTCGATTAGATGACATTCATCCATTCTACGGGGATCTGCTCCATGTCCTCTACAACAAGGATCACTACAAGCTTGCCCTCGGCCAAATCAATACTGCAAGAAACATCATTGGAAAGATTGCGAAGGATTATGTTAGGCTGCTCAAATACGGTGACTCTCTCTATCGATGTAAGTGCTTGAAGGTAGCCGCTCTTGGTCGAATGTGCACAGTTATAAAGCGGATTGGGCCTAGTTTAGCTTACCTAGAGCAGATCAGGCAACACATGGCTCGGCTCCCTTCCATAGATCCCAACACTCGAACCATCTTGATATGCGGATACCCGAACGTGGGCAAGAGTTCATTCATGAATAAGATCACAAGGGCCGATGTGGACGTCCAGCCTTACGCTTTCACTACGAAATCACTCTTCGTCGGTCATACAGATTACAAGTACTTAAGGTATCAGGTGATTGACACTCCTGGGATTTTGGATCGACCATTCGAGGACCGCAATATTATTGAAATGTGCAGTATCACTGCATTGGCACATCTTCGATCTGCTGTTCTGTTCTTCCTCGATATATCTGGATCATGCGGATACACCATTGCTCAACAGGCGGCATTATTTAATAGCATTAAGTCACTCTTCTTGAATAAGCCTCTTGTCATTGTTTGTAATAAGATCGATTTGCAGCCCCTCGATGGTCTTTCTGAGGAAGATATGAAGCTGGTTATGGATATGAAAGCAGAAGCAATTAAATCTGTCTTGGCCCAAGGTGGTGAACCTGATGACGAAGGGGTTTTGCTGACTATGAGCACCTTGACTGACGATGGTGTTATTTCTGTTAAGAATGCTGCTTGTGAGAGGTTGTTGAATCAGAGGGTGGAGATGAAGATGAAATCTAAGAAGATAAATGATTGCTTAAATAGGTTCCATGTTGCGATTCCAAAGCCTCGTGATAACAAAGAGCGGCCTCCTTGTATTCCTCTGGCAGTTCTAGAGGCCAGAGCGAAGGAGAATGAGAAGAGGGAGAACAGGGAACTCGAAAGAGATCTTGAGAATGAGAACGGTGGCGCTGGTGTATACTCTGCTAATCTTAGGAAACATTATATTTTGGCCGAGGAGGAGTGGAAGGAAGACATTATGCCAGAGATCTTAGATGGGCATAATATTTATGATTTTGTGGATCCTGACATCTTACAGAGGTTGGAAGAGTTGGAGAGGGAAGAAGGGCTTCGGATCGAAGCCGAGTCTTATGAAACAGAATTTGAAATGGATGGGAAAGAGGTGACTCAGGGGGGGCGAGAGGCTTGATTCGAAGGAAGAAGAGTTTGCTCATACAAGAACATAGGATGAAGAAGAGCACCGCAGAGAGCCGCCCTACTATTCCTCGAAAGTTTGATAAGGACCGAAAGTTCACAACGGAAAGAATGGGGAGGCAGCTTTCATCTTTGGGCTTGGATCCGGCTTCCGCCATTGATCGAGCGAGAAGTAGGTCTGCCTCGAGAAAGGGCCGGAAGAGGGATCGATCATTGGCTGGTGATGGTGTTGATGGCGAAGCCATGGATGTTGATGACGAACATAAGAGCAAGAAGCTGCGACTGAGGTCACGTTCGAGGTCGCGTTCACGGCCGCCGGGCGAAGTTGTACCTGGAGAAGGATTAAGGGACTCTGCACAGAAGTTGAAGGCGATCAAGCTTAAAAAGAAGTCGGAGAAGGTGAGAAACAAGGCGGCTCGGCGAGGTGAGGCAGATAGAGTCATTCCAAATCTCAAACCTAAGCACTTGTTCTCTGGAAAGCGATCTATAGGAAAGACACAGAGGCGCTGAGATATGCAATTTGATGTTTGATTTGATTAAAGTTGTTTTTCTAAGTATCCTTTTATTGTGTTTTGGATGTAATTAGGATTTGTGGTAAACTATGAGGATTTTTGTTCTGCATGAAAATTTTTACATGTTTTGCTAGCCATAAACTATTCGAGTTTTTATAAATTAAGTTTAATGTATTCTTTTTTTTCTATTTGAGTGTACTGCTAGTTATTATTTCAGCAGCTGATGACGGCAGCAATCCTCTCTGTGGGAAAATCCTAATATATTTGAAGTGCTGTTTCTAGTTTTTTTTGTGATATGTGCAGGGATTCTCAATGTTTGCTATAATTTGATAGTTGATGGAAGTTTGTTTTCATAGTTTGATGGTAGTTTGAAGCTATCATTTGGTGGCAATCAAGGTAAAATTTAAAGTGTCTTTGTTGTAACTGGGATTTCTGAATTGTGTTAGTAAATCATTTGGATTCTTATATATATGAGAACCTCTTCCATGGCTTCTAGGATATGATCAGCTTTTACTTGCATGGTAAATTGTTCATCTCTGAAAGGTAACAAGAATTTTATTTCATGCAAACAACACAACAGAACAACTGAATGATAATATCAACAAAGCCCTGGCCTTCATATGCCATATGCCATATTTTTTCTCTTAACTGTGTATGAGTTTTAAAACTCATCCAAGTTCACCTTTTTTTGATACATAGCAAATTCTCTTCTTTCTGCATTACCCTTTCTTTTGCATTCATCACAACATCAGGAAGAATATTCTATATGCAAAAAAATAATATTGGATTTTACTCAGCGAATTCAGAAAATCTGAATAAATTAGAGAAGCACCTGATGGTGTTGTCTTTTCTCATGTGAATCCAATGGGGAATCTGCTTGTTCCGCGGCTTCTTTTTTATCCGTAAAGTGTTGAACGAAGGTAGGGAAACTGAAGCGAAAAATGAAGCAGTGAAAGCGAAGCGAGACAAATCGTGCGATCAACTTGTTGAAGGTAATTTTGACCCTTTCATCTTCATTTATGAAGCAACAGAACGCAGGAAGGAAAGCGAATTTGCGATCCCAAATGGGCTGAGATATGTTGCTCCGGGGGAAGCAAATTTTAGCGAAGATGCTCAATCAAACGAAGCCAAAGCATTTTTTTGGCTCTCTCTGGAACGTGAAGGTACAGAAAAATCTTCAAACGAAGCCTTGATGTATTCCAAGAAGTGATTACTTATAATGCAGTCTTATGACTAACATATTTCTTGTGCTATGTCTTTCTTACTCTGGAAATGGTGCCCTGAGTTATTTATTTTTTAGTCTAGTTGATGATATGCTGATTGAAATCAATAAAAGATGCCTTAGTTATGCTAATTGTTATCTTGATGATGCAGAGAATTAAATGCAATAATGCAGGCAGTTTAATTGATGCTATGACACTTACGTTTTGGCTGCTTTATATATATATATATATATACATATAGATGATAATGAGCCTTTGGTTATCAATTTTTGGAAGACAAGCCACTCAGTTTTTTTATATTTACATATCTAACACCTAAATTTCAATTTTTAAATATATGCTCCTTTACTAGGCATGAAAAAACATATTTCATTTTTTTTTAAGTTAAAATAACGATATTTTTGATGTGATGTGAAAGATTTGGATAGTATAAATATAAAAAAAATAATGTTTGTGTTAGATATGTAAATACATAAGAATTAGATGGTAGGTAAATCCCCTTAATTTGGGGCATTTACATACATAGCACACAATTTTAATACATTTAGTATTTACATATCTCACACCTAAACTTTCATATTTACACACATAGCACTCAATTATGTAATATCACATTAAAAATAGTATTGTTATCAATTTTAAAAAGCGAAAGATGTATTTTCATGCATAAGTTTAAAGTGCTACATATGTAAATATGGAAGCTTAGATATGAGATATGTAAATACATCATTGTGTTAGGTATGTACATTTCCCTAAAAAAAGTGTTAGGTATCTTACTAGTATTTTTTGTTAAATGACACTTGCAATAGTCGGAGGCATATAACCCACTCTTGATTGCAAACATTTATATTAGATGAAACTTATTTTCTTGTCTTTAAAAAATGTGGGACATTTCCGTAAATATCACACTATTCTTATATATTTACATATCTTCTAAACATTCATATTTTCACCAATATCACTCAAATCCTTAACATTACATAAAAAATATCACCATCAATATTTTAAAAAAAATGTAATATAAATGTTCATGCATAGATTTGACAGCAAGATGTTATATAAATATCAAATTTTGGATGTTACGTATATGAATAGAAAAAAAAATATATGATATGCAAGTAAATTTTCCTTTTTAAATTCACTGAGACATTGTGTCTAGTCATTACGCGGTCTCAGGGGTGGAGTTCTCCAAAAAAAATTTTCCTTGTATCAAAATAAACCAATACTTAGGGCCTGTTTGGGGCAGCTTATTTGATGCAGTGGCATTTTAAAAATGCACCTGACCTGTTCGGGTAAACTGCGTTTTGACAGCTTATGCATTTTCAAAACACTGAAAATAACGTTTTCACACCGCACCTATCTAGGTGCGGTG